CAATATTGATTGACCATAAAAATTCCATTCGAACGTCTTTGATCTTCAATTCAACTTCCAATAATTCCTCAGATACATATCAACATAAATTATATAAAAAACAAAGCTTAATTACGATAAACGGATCGAATCGGATGATAAATCAGTTAAAACCAACTTACCGATTTCGAATTTGGCGAAACGGACTTCGGATTCGGATTCAGGAAGTCGAAAGCATAAAATATGACTTTTCAAAAATTTGGAATTTTCGGTCAAAATCAAAGTCAACGGGTTTGACTGGCAATTTCGAGGCCTTCGAGTCTGAATTTCGAAAAACAAACTGCTGAATCGGATTTGGAACGTCGAAAAATGTCAGGATAGGTATACTCGATCAAAGTCAAAGGTCGTTTAATGCCCGGTCAAAGCCCGACAAAGTTTTGGTCAACACCAGTCAATGGTCAACGGGTCGGGGCGGGTGAACGGGGCGGGTGAACGGGTTGGGTCGGGTCGGGTTGTAACCGGTCAAACCAGTCAAAACAGTTTCAAAACCGGTCAAACTGGTCACTTTTCCCTTCCCCACGCGCTGTGGCGTTGCGTGAACAGTGCTAAGGTGTCGGAAAATTCCCGAAAAAATTCCTAAAAATTATTCTGAGCGATTTCGAGATACTTACAAAGCTCGGTTCACAATTTTGAACGGCGGAGAGCTCGATTTCAACAAATCAGAAACTTTGACCGCTTCACCTCCTCATGCGCCGCCGTCTACGGAGACCAAGGATGACACCGGCGGACTCGAAACGATGCAAGGAACACGATGGTACAGGAGGTGTCGTAAACGGATCATCGGATCGTCGTGAATCGATGAAAAACCAATTGAAATAGAGTTATTATCGACGATACTTCCGACTGAAATTAACGACGAACGGCGACGATTCACGACAAAAGGTTTAAGAGGTTTTGTTTCTCGGTTGACAACGAACACGATGGTGGTTTCGGCTCGTCGATCGGAGATCAAACGGCGAGTAGATCGGAATTGAAAGGAGTGTTGTTGGAGAAGGGAAAACTGAAAAAATGAGAACCTGCGCACGGGGAGGGGTTTATAATTCAACTCATAATACAAATGGGTAAATCATGAGTTTAGCTACTGAATTTCCTGCATTTTATAAAATGGTCTTTCAACTTTAAAACTTTACAATTTAATCTACCATTTCTTTCAAAATACCAATTAAATTCACCATTTTATAATTTCTTAAAATTTAGCCCCTAAATTAGGGTGTTACATGTTTATTTAATTATCCTTACTGATTTATCCATATTTTGAATCCTCGAACGGGATCTCTTTTGTTTGCAATTACCAAATTAATGTGGCAATTGAATTATGATAAAAATCACTTTGTGATTATTTCGTCATTGTTATACGTAATTTTATACTTGTATTGATGATGTTTATCTTTTCGCCTTTAATAGTTACGCTTGTTTGTATTTTTTTCAAATTATTTAATTTATTTTTATCTATTCACATGTATGCTAATTAAAATATTTCTTTTGACCGGAGAGTAGAGGGAAATATATGTTAAATATAAAGGTCCAAGTGTTTGACTTAGGGTTAATTCTCAATTTTGAATGAGCAAAGTCAATAGGTACTTAATGTTGACCGAACGATACTTAAAAGCACTATCATCGCGAGCATCACCTACACATTATAAAATACTCCGTCTCCTATTAGTTTAGAGTATATTGAGCATACTGGATCCATCATCAATTAAACCTAGCATATATCGATCGATGTGTATGTACTACGTACGTGCATGTGTACTCCAAGAAAATATAATGTGTAACTACGACTATAATATTTTAGTATAATTTTTTAAAGTTTTCTTTGTTATAAATTCATTTATAGATAATACGATGAAAATGTGATGGTTTCACTTTTACCCGTCAAGTAAGTCACACCATATCCATGTTGAACATTAAATAAATTACAATAATATATAATTAATATATCGATTACATCATCAATTTCTTTTAATTAATGAGACAGATAGTGAGAAAATTAAGGATACCCAACACTTATATTCATTACCAAAAACAACTAGCCAGACCATAGGATTGAGGATCGAAATCCCATACAAATTGCCATACGTAGCTACGTACGTATTCCTCATGCATAAGGCATGAGCTGGCCTGCGCATGGCAGTCAATACTCACTACTCTTCCATGAAATACTTTGATATATGTTTATCAACATTCACGTATTTAAAAATATATTTTTGGATAAATACATATGTATCAATAATATAATTTTTTTATAAAAAATGAATACAATACAAATAAAATTTTATGATAAATATTGTTAATAAAATAAATAACTAATTTAAAAAAATTAAACTTCAAAATTCGCACGTTAGAGTACATACATCCGCCACCTATTATCAACCAAAAGATGGAGTATATTTTTTGTACGATGTATTTATTTAGTAGGCAGGCAGGTTGTTTGTCGTATCATTCTCCACGTGTAGCCACGTCAGTATCTACGATATATGCCTCGTGTCTTTCTCTTGCCTGAATTATTGGAAAGGTAAGAAATATCTACGCGCGGCAGCCTGCATCATGTCAACTCAAATAATTTTAACTTCATTTTTAAGAAACAACTTTTTAAGATTTATGTTGTTGAAATAATTTTATAAAGATGTTAAAAAATATGTTTTTAAGATACTCAGCTTTAGTATAAATAAGATATCATATATTTGTATTTTTTTCATCTGAATATATAGAGTGATTATTGTTCTTATTATCTATAAAGATAGGTAAAGTCGAATCACGTTAAATATTATCTCTTATATGTGTCTTATTCGTTTTGGTTAATTTTCACATACGAATTCCTAATGATTGATATCATAAGTTATGGTTTGAGTTATGATGTTTTGAAAGAATTATTGGGTAAACTACGTATATAGTACTTAAACTATCAGTTTTGATCCGTTTTAGTACTTAAGCTTTCAAAATTTTCAAAACCATACCTAATATTTTGGTTTTGTTTCATTTTAGTACCCCCACCATCAAAAATTTAACGTATTTAGGACATAAACTACCAGTTTTGGTTCGTTTTAAACCTAAACTTTTCATTTCCCCCCAAAATTTAACGTTAAATTTTGAACATGGATACTAAAATGAAACAAAAACTAAACTTTAGGTATGGTTTTGAAAAAATTGAAAGTTTAGGTACTAAAAATATCAAAATTGATAGTTTAGGTACTAAACAAGTAATATACCCAAAAATTTGGTTTGTGATCAATTTTTTTATGAGAATTTTGTTAGCGATTTTAAAGACATACATGATGAATTATGCTGCAATAATTTTTCAGTTGTAAGGGAAGTAATTCTCAATAGATCCAACAACGCTTCAATATATATTACATAAGAAATGAAATTGTTAAAAACTTGAAGGTAGCACTTTGACAAATTTTTAACTTACGTACAAATGAAGTTGTTGAAGATCTGAAGACCAATGCATGAATGGAATTTGTGTCAAGAGAGAAATGGTTAGATATGACTCGAATTAGTTGATAATTAAACTGAATTTTATTGTAATTCTAGTTGTTAAAAATCACTTAAAAATTAAGTTTATCTAATAAGTATACTTATTATAGAAATGAAATCTAATGCAATTAAATTTTTTGTGAGCAAGTAAATTATTTTGGAGAGTTATAATCTTTTTGAATCTCTACAACTTTTAAGATTTATGTTGTAGAAATGATTTTATAAGAATATTGGAAGAATGTTTTTGGGATACACTGAGCTTGATATATATATATATATATATATATATATTATATAATGGTTTTTCAACCCTAATTCTGCCCTAACTTCTAAGCTCATAGTTGAGAGTGATATTCTTGATCGTGTTTCTTGTCCTGCATGTTTTGTTAATATGGTTATATTTCTAGAATGTCCAATATTAAAGCTGACTCCCTCGCAAAACAAGGCACTGGTTAGAAAGAGACATGCTCATTGTTAGGTTGTGGTTTTTGTGGTTTTGTATGGGTATTGCATGTTTATTTTTGAGGTGATGTTGTTTCAATGTGGTTCACGTTGTTTGTTGTATCGTGACCGGGTTCAATTGATTAATGTTAGTAAAAGTTTTCGAAACACTCTTTTCTTTCTCCCGATATCATATATTTGTACTCCTTACATTAAAAAAGAATTATTTTCTAATATACGAAAATAATCAGAATCAAATAACATTAAATCTTATTTTGTACGCATGTCTTATTTTATATTAATATAATTTTAACTATTTTTCAAGAATTCCTAACCAACTCGAATCTAAAATCTCAAATCTCATGAATTCTCAACCATGACCACACATGATATCTAGTTGACACCAACCTTAGATTGGATGGCTAAACAACACGTACATGTGGCTATATATATAATACCCACGCCATTTATTTTTCTTATATATTAAAGTTTTGTAGATTGGGGAATGAAGTGGGGCTTTCCTATGAAAAAAAAAAGTGTTCGAACTTTAGCTAATGAAAGGTCCTAAATTGACCCACGTAAAATTATATGTAGAATAGAGTTATGAATCTAATAAATTAAGTACGGTGACAGTTAAAACGAAAGATGAACCTTTTTAAACAAAGGAATATTTAGAGGCCTCTTGTTCAAATGAATTCAACTAGTGATTGTAAGAAATGGAGTACGGATAGGGTAGGTTTGACTTGTCCTGTTGTGAGGCATTTTCACGTCTCGCGATGAGTTAATGCCGTACCTCTTTTTAATAAACATATGTTGGGTTGTTGGTCAAAATCTTAAAACTCATAAAAAAATAATTAAAGAAAATAAAACATGCCCTCACATCTCCCACGCAACACCTGCTCTCTCCCTTCCCTCCCTCCAAAACACGTGTTGGAGATTATAGGATGAGCAAACACAAAAATGAGCTGGCCCTGTGTGCCATTCTTTTCCTTACCCCTACATATACTACTCTTCACCTCTCAACTCCCAGCACAACAAACGTAATGGCATTTCATTTCATCTTCTGTCTCTTTGCTCCAATCTTGTTCGTTCCCCTCTTCCCTTATCTTCGTAATCTCTTCAAATCCAATCGCCGGCGACCACCGCTCCCTCCCGGAACTCTAGGTTGGCCTTACATCGGTGAAACCTTCCACCTATACTCCAAAAACCCAAACATCTTCTTTGCTTCCAAGCAACAAAGGTGCATACACTAACATTAGTATCTGTTCACTATTTTTCTTAACATATAGATAATGTCGTACATATTCTATATATATATATATATATATATATATATATATTCGAATCCGATTATATAATTTGATTGTTTTGTTTATACTTTGTACTAGGTACGGTTCCATATTCAAGACACACATACTAGGCTGTCCTTGTGTGATGATTTCCAGCCCCGAGGCTGCGAAATTCGTGCTGCTCACCAAATCTCATGTCTTCCACCCGGCATTCCCCGCAAGTAAAGAGAGGATGTTAGGGAAACAAGCCATCTTTTTCAGCCGAGGACAGTACCATGCCAAGCTGAGGAAGCTTGTTCTTCGTGCCTTCATGCCCCACGCCTTCAAATCCTACATCCCCAACTTCGAATCCATCGCCCAACATTTCCTCCACTCATCGGAAGGAATCCTCGTAACCACTTTCCATGAAATGAAAACAGTAAGCTTCCCTTTCATTTCCTCTGTTTTTTATTTCCCTGTTTCTGAATTTTAGTCTGTGAAATTGTTGGCTTGTTGCAGTACACATTCAATGTTGCGCTGCTGTCGATATTTGGAAAGGATCGAGTGGTTTACAGTGAAGATTTGAAAAGGTGGTATTACGTTCTTGAGAAAGGGTACAATTCCATGCCCATTGATCTTCCCGGTACACTTTTCAACAAATCGATGAAAGCCAGGAAGGAGATTGCTCGGATTGTAGAGAAAATCATGTCAACCAGGAGGAAAATGAAGGCGGATTGGAATGACTTACTCGAGTCTTTCATGAGTGACGAAGAAGGCCTCACCGACGAGCAAATCACCGATAACATCATCGGCGTAATCTTTGCTGCTCGTGACACCACCGCCAGCGTACTCACGTGGATAATTAAGTATCTCGAAGAAAATCCCGGCGTTCTTCAAGCCGTCACTGTAAGGATTGTTAATCTCTTTAATGATTCCCCAATATCACATCCCAAAAAGATGAATTGTTGTGAATGGGTTTGCATTACAGGAGGAACAAGAGGCCATAATGAGAGGTAAAGAAGAGCAAAAACTGAGTTGGGAAGACACAAAGAAGATGCCGATAACGTCGAGGGTGATTCAGGAAACACTCAGGGTTGCTTCCATTTTATCTTTTACCTTCAGAGAAGCTATTGAAGATGTTGAATATGATGGTCAGTTACCACATATCTCATACATACATATAGTACCACTAATTTTTGCTAATGATGAATGATTGGTTCAGGGTATCTTATACCAAAGGGATGGAAAGTACTACCACTTTTTAGAAACATTCACCACAGCCCAGACATCTTTCCAGATCCTGAAAAGTTTGATCCTTCAAGATTCGAGGTAAACTTTGCACGACTAGATATACATAAAATGAGTATTTAATCAACTCAAGTTAAAAGTCGAATCTAATTTTACTCGCTCATAAAAATACATGTTACAGTATTAATAGTAAAAATGTTGTGATATTATATGAGCTAATGCATGCATAATTTTGGTGAATGGTATGAACAGGTGGCTCCCAAACCCAATACATTTATGCCATTTGGAAATGGGACCCACTCATGTCCAGGGAATGAGTTGGCCAAGCTAGAAATGATGGTCCTCCTCCATCACCTGACCACAAAGTACAGGTGGCATGTGGTGGGTAGTAACAGTGGGATACAGTATGATCCTTTTGCTGTTCCCCAGAATGGTTTGCCCATCAGATTATTCAGAAAGTGATAATTATAGCATCATTCCTCACCTCAAGGACCAATTAGGAATTACTTCATTTTCGCTCAATTTGGTCAAAACCAAAAAGAAGAAATTGACTCAGGATAAGCCATCCAGGTGTACGGAAGAGTTCCATTACACTTAAATAAAGGGAGAATGTGCTGACAACATATGTTCCGACTCATCGTAGAAAAAATAAGCAAAAATGATGAGTTGACCATTTACAATTTACATGCATTATTAATTCATCCTGAAAAGGTGTCCTAATTGAAGTCCGCAAGGCAATTGTTGTTCAAAATTTAAATATATCAACTGATTTATTCCATTATAAACTGATATGTAGTACAGAATTGGTTCGTAATGTTATATTTCAGAATCAGATTATGTAAATAATATCAAAGTATTATACAATAAAGTTTAAATTTATTATTATCTATCTTTTAAAATGATCTTAGATTGTAAATATAATTTTAACTTTTGGATCCAATTATATTTTTTTACTATAATTTAATCAACTTAATTTTTAAATAATCTAAAACACAGTAAAATATTTTAGATTATATTTTATTTTCATGTAATAAAAAATTAATGTAAGTGTCAATAGTCTATATTTTCAGAAAAAGAGAGCTAATAGTCGATAACTCGTACTACACGAGTCATCTAAATAAACATTGAAACCTTTTTGATTTTGCACATATATAAATCAAAACAAAAGACTGAAACTAAGAAAATAATATATATATATATATATATATATATATATATATATAGGTTCCCAGTTGAAGATATATTTTGATAGCGCCAACAGTTGCGAACCATTTAAAGCACCTCGTTTTAGGTTCCCTTGTAACTTAAAATTCCGCCTCTCAACTGCGACAGTAGCATTAGGTAAATAATATTTAAGATTTTCCCCAGTAAGATTTGGTTACCAAGCACAGCTTAAAGCCCATAATGAAATATTCCGAGTGAAAAATTACTCACCTTCTCAACATGTTTTGTGTCCAGGACTTCTTGTGTGTTATTCTTAAGTAGGTCCACCCGAGCTTGAATGATCCGATTGTGTTGTTCAGCCTACATACAAATCGGTAATAAAAGATACCATAAGTTTTCTATGGTTTTTTATCTAACCACTAGAATAAACAAAATCTACTAGGGTATATCATAACATGTCATTTAATCCTAACAAGTAACCTATTTCAATAACCAAGTTCTGCTTCATTTGCGAAACAGTACTCAGATTTATGTTCCACTATTTTGATGGCTTAAATAGCCCTCTTCATAGTTTTAGGCGCACAAAATGAAGCGAGAACATAAATACAGGCTGAATAAGAGAAAGGAGTAATAGTTAACCTGTAATGCCTACTAAATTATTTTGTAATAGAAAAACTTCACAAGATCATTTCTTACCCTTTCCAGCAGGCCCCTTAAGTAATGGATCTCAGCTTTCTTTGCAGTTGACAAACTGTGCACTGCATCCATTACATTAGTCCTGCATTCAAAATCCTCACTAGTTCATATGAAGGAAGTGCAGTCAACATGGTTCCATGTGAATATAAGAGCAAATAATCACATGAGGTAACAGTAATCACCATATGCAACATAATTAAGTGGTGTTAGAAAACAATTATGTTCGAGTATAAAGAGTAGAGTCTTCATCCATCCCAGAAAAAGGAAGCTAATAGAATCAAATCAGTGATCATTCAATTTGGAACTGCAGATATCCGAATAGGATTGAATTAAACATGTAATCAACTGTTAATTAGTAACCCACCTAACATTCGAAGAACATTAGAAAGTAGAAACCAGACTGACCTCTCTGAAAACAAAGAGTCAAGAGATTGTTCTTCCACAAGTTGCTCCACAGTATCAGGGGGCATCTCCTACCTACAAATAAATAGATAAATAAATAAATAACCTTAAAAATTAAAGGAGAAAAGAAAGCGAATTGAGAAAATGAAGAATTCAGAGAAGATGAGAGAATTTCATTGATAAAATTCTGCTACGAATACTGTTACAAGTACTGTCACAGCTTGACTGTAAGCAAACAAATTTTAATGGAGAAAAGAAAGCGATTTGAGAAAATGAAGAATTCAGAGAAGAGGATGAGAAAATTTCATTGATAAAATTCTGCATTACAGATTCATGTACATATATCCAAATGTTGAAAGGAAACCTACATCAGGCGTATAATAAACTGATATAAATTAAACTAGAGTGGTAGTATAAAAGGGAATACCTGAGTTTCATGGCATAAAGACCCAAATTCATCCTGATACATAGAAGATGTAAAATTAGAAATAAGGCTCATATAACGCAATTAAGAGAATTGGGACACTAAATAAAATTAACAAAATCCTCAACCGGACACCTAAGGCAATAATGCACAGAAAAGCAGTGAGTTAGCTGCTGCTTAAATTATATCCGAATATGGAAATTTGAATCTAAAAAATAGTGCAGATTGTATGATACATACAAGTACATCAAATCCATATATTTGTCAAATAGTACAATTTATATTGCAAATGAAATTCAAATTTCAAATTCATTGTATTCACTAGTCTATTTAATTCCATATGGCCAAAACTTCCTGTCAGCATTAACATTATTTGTTCGAACAAAGCAACAGAGCTGCAAAAAGCCCTTTAAGGGTAAAACTATATCCAGATGATAATTAAAAATGAAGGCAAGATAAGAAAAGGATACTGCATACCTCTACATTCCCATGCAAAGAGGTAATGACCTGAAAATTTGCCATAAATTAGCGCCAAGATCAAGCATCAGTTAAAAATAGTCCTTAAAAGCTCTAAACCTAAAAATCAACAAAAATCATTTCTTCTGTGATGCTAGGAGTACATAGAGCAAATAATTTTCCTCTTTTTGATATCCGAGAAGTAAGATTTGTTTTATTAAGGAGTTTATGTTAACAACAAGCTACGCCCAGGTAAAATGAAACACAAAATGCTAATGAACTATAATAGTGGCTTAAAGAAAGTACATATAAGAAAGTATACCTGAATAAAAAGCTGGTGGAGACGTTGTTGCTCGACATTGGTAAAATTTGGAAATTCTTTGCTGAATTCCTTCAAAATCACAAAAGAGAAAACCATTTGAAATCATCTACACAGTCACTAAAGAGAGAAAATATCTCGAGATAAAAAAACTTAAAGGAATGGAATCAAAAGAGATAATAAAACCTCGGCAGAACAAGTAGTGAGAAGAGAGCGGACGGCGAGGTTGAAAGACTTTTTCAAATCGGATTGCCTCTTTCCTATTGCTGTGACCGGATCACCGACATTTCTGCTACCCATCTACTTCGGTACAAATCAGAATACAAGCACAGCAACGAAAGGAAAACCACAAATAGAGAGCAACGGCAACGCATTCTTTGTTCGCGCCCAATCAATGTTCAAATTTTGCTTTCTTTTTCTCAAGATTCGACACATACAGAACCCACATTCATCGAGCGCCAATTGTCCTGAACCCGAAAAGCATATATGATTTGAAATTTGAATTTGAAGGTAGAACTTAAAATATAATACCTCTTTTAGCCTCTGTATTATAGTTAAATTACGAATTTGATAATTATATGATTTCTAGGGTAAATTAAACATTTAGTTCCTAACCTATTACTTTTATTATGTTTTGATACCTAAACTTTATTTTATTTCAAAATAAACCTAATGTTTAGTTTAGGTTTTATTTTAGTATCTCGTCGCTAAAAAGTTAATAGAATTGTTGATGTGTCATTCCTTTTATTTTTTACTGATGATGTGATATTATCTTATGATAACATGCCAATATCACTATTAAATTTTTTAACAGTAGGACATCAAAATTAAACTTAAACTAAACGTTAAATGTGATTTTGAAACGAATTAAATACTAAAATGGAACAAATATATACTAAATGTATAATTTACCCTAACTTTTATCAGTGAGACAGAATAAAAATGAAAATTTTAAACATTTTAAAAATTGGAGATTCAAATAAAATTAAGAAAAAAATCTCAAAATTTATTTTTTTAAAAGCTATGATTTTAACAAAACTTTTCATGGCTATACAGTTTATAAACGAACCGGGTAAACGAAAATTAAGATTTAAATTGGAGAGTAGAAAGGTATAAAATATGATAAATTTATTATTTCATTTATATATATTTTTGGATAAATTTCATTAATAAATCCAAAATCAAGTAGCCAAACTGCTACCAGAAAACAAAACTCACAACCCTTTAGTCAATATTCCAAGCTAAAACAGTTGCGTATTTACCTTATTTGATCTGTCTATACATTTTCATGTAAACTTCATACTAACAACTAGGGATGGGCATCTAACCCGAACTGATCTGACCCGATCGGGTCGGATTTTTCTAAAAAAATTTCGGGTTCGGATTGGGTTTTTTTATGTGGTGTTCAGGTCGGGTCGGGTTCGGATTTAGGGTGAAATAAATCCGACCCGACCCGGGAAAATATATAATTTTACCCTATATATTTAGGAATAATTATAATAATACCCCTCTATATATTATTTTTTTCAATTTAGTCACTGTTTTTATTGAATAAAAATAATTTTTTTATTATTTCGGGTCGGGTCGGGTCGGATTTTTTAAACTATCTATCGGGTCGGGTGAAAAACTAATTTTGTCGGGTCAGGTCGGGTCACGGGTGGAGGTCCCCTTCTTCTCGGGTCGGGTCGGGTCTGGTGAACCAAAAATCCGACCCAACCCGACCCATGCCCATTCCTACTAACAACGGATCGAATGCATCAAAAAATCACATCCTCCCCTCTCCTATGTTCCCTACACAAATTAAAATTTCGCTCCTCCCAAATAAAGTAAATAAACTCACACCACGCCACCTTTAAAATAAGTGTAAGAAGAAATTGACCTTTAAGAAAATAACATGCCTAAATCACCTCTTTCGTCTAGTCAAGTACTACCCTACGCAATCCACACAAGAGCAAGACCTTTCTCCAAATGCCAATGGAGAATGAGCACCCAAAAAATGTGTTCCCTAGTCTTAACCACCCCATTATACAAGATACATACAAATTCCA